GGGGAAGTGAGGGTAGCCCCGGACCTGGGCCTGGGCCTGGGCCTGGGCCTGGGCCTGGCCTGGGCTTCCACAGCCGGCAGTGGGGGCTGAGAAGGAAAATGTGAGGGGCGAAGGGCGGGCAATGAGCCCGGGGAAGCGGCGAGGAAGGAGAAGGGCGGGGGAAATTCTCCTCTTTGCTCTTGCTGAGCCACTGACATACTCGATCTCGGCTCTTCCACTGCGTGGAAACTTGACCCGGAGTTGTGAGCTTCTATTTGTTTGTGTTACTGTGGTGAAAGTACTGAGCTGGATTGCGAAGTGTGTTGTTCTTGGCAAATTACTATAAGCCTGTATGAAGGGATCACAGTATTCATAACTGCATCTTAATTTAAATCAACATTATGTGATATTTCTAAATACAGTCAGTTGCATTTCTGAGATGATACAGCATGCTTTTGTTTCTGTGAGTTGCTTGTGTGCAGCGTGAGTTTGGTATGAAATGAAAATAGGGGCTAAAAAATTATTCTTGTGTCTTTACAGGTTTCATGGTGAGGGGTATCAGGAGGGGTATGCTGAAGGCAGTCATGTTGGAGCTGTTGAGGGAAGGAGGTATGGATCGCTCCATGGTGCCAAGATTGGGTCTGAGGTAAATCAGAAAATACTTCAAAATCACAATGTTTTTGTCATTACAAAGTTATTGTAATGGAGAAACTGTTGGGCAAAGCCTGATATATTGGTGGCCTGAGGCCTGCTATGTTATTTTGCTTTGTATATGTCCAAGAGGGCCCATAAAACTAGGTGGTTTGAAGGTGGTGTTTTGATTTGAACAGTTAAATAGATGGCTTGGTGTTTTCTGAGCTTATTTGCTCTATGTGATTTTGATTTTTTTTTTTTCTCCTGGACAAGAGGATAAGAAGAGGTAAATAAAATCAAACAAGTTTGCTCAGAAAAAAATGATGATGGACTGTACATTTATTTTTGTAACCCAACATTGTGGCTAGAGGCTCCCCTGTACCATCTCCTGCGGCTCAGCATTAGGGAAGAACATGGAACATTGAGATGCCTTGGATGGAGAACCATAAAGGGGCAATTCTGGGTGACTCTGTTGCACTCTTTGTTATTTCTAATACTGGGAGAGTTTGTTGGTGGAGGCACTGTTATTTTTTAGTATATGGAGTCAGTTCTGTGTGTTGGCACCCTTACACAATGGCATACCTGAATCGATAAGCTTGCCTAGAAGTGAAAGGACTGGAGAGAGGTGGTGAGGCACTTTAACTTGTATCATATGTCCAGCTCAAGTTTATCATAACATGGAGCGTGTTCAGTGCTGTACAACATAGTTATAGTATTTTTGGACCTGAACTGGGTTTTTTCAGCTTTGCTGGGAAGCTGTACTACAGGATTCATGGCAGGCCTTATTTCAAGTACAGTGCCACAAATCTAAATCTGTTCGATCTATTGAAGCCCTTTGGGTAATTTGGCAATTTGCCCTTTTGATATCTTCAGGTTTCAAAAAGTTAATTAGTTACACAAAGAACAGTAGCAATGGTATTAATCCATTTTGAAGTGAAAAAGGTAAACTGTCAAATTCGTAAAACTTTGCTTTGCATTTGGGTGTGATACAGAGACGTACAGTGATGAAATATTTTCCTACTTATGCTATAACTATGTAGTTCCAAGATGAGAATGTTAAACAGCATCCTCCAAAGCTGGATAGTTTTATACAAAGTGGTCCTAGACAGACTGTGATAGGGAAGTGCTCTGATCTACTTATATTGGGGAAGCTGCAGAGGACAGTAGGATTGTAGACAGCGAGGTATATTAAATAAGAGAAAGAGTGACTGGGGTAATCTTAGACCTGTCAGCCTATTTTGTGTCTTGGGCAAAATTATGATGCTGATCTGATACTGGCCTTGCTTGATAGACAATTAAAGAAAGATGTTCTAATCAAAGTGTGTCTGTTTTCAGGCACATCCCTCAGGCAGGTTTAGACACAGTATCTGCTTGGGCTCAAGCAGAAGATTGGCACTGTGCCCCTGGGGTAGAACAGTGCTAATTAAGCTGAGAAGTCTACAGCTAAGTGTCCAGGGGCCCGGTGTGTTTTACCATAGTAGCTTGCATTTACAGCACTGGTAACTGCTATGTCTGTCAGTTGTCTCCATTTACCTTGGGTCTCTAAGCAGTTTTGGGGCATGCAAATTAAATTGCCGTCAACGAAAAATTAACTGGAAGCCTCACTTCAAATATGCTTGAGCACTTAATGGGATGTTAAGTGCTCAAGCACGTTTGGGCCTTAAAAAGAACCTCCCCTGTGTACTTTAACAAACAGAACAAACGGAAGACTGGAACTACCAAACATTCCCACTCTACTCTGAAGTGGTTTGCAGGCCACAGGAGCTTACAAGTCCAACAATGTTTTGTAATTTAAATGGCAGGTGTATGCACATGCACATGTATGGACCACAGTGGGATTAGGCTGTAATTTTGGACTTAATTTCTCAAAGTCAGCTAACTTCTGTTTCAGGTGTCTGTGCTGTTTTTCTGTGAATGCTAAGTCACTTTTGAAAGGGATTCCGGCCGACTTATCCAGTTGGTGCACTGAAGAACTTAACCTGTATTCCTACTTCATTTGGTGTCTGAAGTTGTAATGAAAAGTTCTGTCAGCAAGGCTATCTTAGCGCCTTGTGCTTCTTTCTGATGCCATGCTACCCTCTTGAGTTAGGCTAGTAAAATTGTTCGCGTATTAACTCAGAAAGCGTGGTTTCCTCTTTGGTTGACTTGGTAGCTCCCTCCATCCAGCTGGTACACCTTTTTGTAGGGCTGTGCGTGAGCTGCTTAAACTGACAGTGCTGCAAAAATGAGTACTTAACCAAAACATCTTAAGTTGTTTTCTAACGCTCTCCCTACTAACATACTTTAATAAATTTGGGGGTTCAAAGCATATAAAGTATGACTAGTGTTTTGCAGAATTGCTTTCTATGCTGCATTTTAAATATTTTGTCCTCTGATGCTAAACAGATTCTTACAGAAGCTTTCTGACTCTTGTACTGTGTAATACAGATAGCCCTAATTTATTCTACCCTAATTTACTGAACTGTCCAGTGTAGAAAGGTGTTTGTATTTCCAGTGATTTGTTTCCTGAAGAATGGAATACAATGTAGTCAATGTAGTGCTTTATTTTTGTTTGACTATATATACGACACTTTTTTTCCCCCCTCATGACATTATGATAAATTCACAGATTGGCTGCTACCTTGGGTTTGCACTGACATGGCAGTGTCTGCTCCAGAAATGCACAGATGAAAAGAACAGGTAAGGTTAAAAAAAAAAAAAATCAGTGTTCCTTTAATACTGTTTAAAATTATGGTGTCCAGTTTTGCCTCCTCCCCAAAACAAAAGAAATAATGAAAAACAGACGAAAGGTGAGCAGAGGGCCACGAGGGTAGTATCATATGCTGGACCATGTGATACTGAATAGAGAATAAGGGAACTTGGTTTCTTCAGCCTGGAAAAAAGAAGACAAGGGAGATACCTACTTTTACCACATAAGGTGATGTTCAGGATAAGGTGGAGGCACGTTCCTTGCAGAATGGCACAGTGAAAGGACAATAGGCAACTTTCACAATTTGAAACAAGTTAGGTTCTAATGGGGCATAAGGAGAAGGTCCTTTCCAGTGCAAGCAGCTAAGTGCTGGGACAAGTTGTCCAGGGAGACTCTAGAAGCTCCATCTTTGTAGATTTTCAAAATCTGGTTGGCGATGGCCCTGAGCAACCTTATCTAGCTTTGAAGTTAGTCCAGCTTCTGCAGAAGGTGAACTAGATGACCTCCAACTGTCCCTTCCAACCTGTGTTTTTCTATGACTTTCATTCTTTTCTCCGTAATTTTTTTCTGTCCAGTTTTGATTAATTTATCTGACAGAATTGCCACCATAGTGTCGGTCATTTTGATAGTGTTCTGGTGAGCTTTTTTTGTTGCATTTCGTCATTTTGCTCAGTCATCTAATCAGTATTTCTGAAGATTCTTGAATATTTCTGAACTTTTAGCAGGTAAGTTAAAAGGGAAACCTTAACTTTGTTAGTTGTGCTACAGCTTGATTTATGATTATGGCTTAAATATGTATCAAATACACACTCTCAGTGAGCTAAATGGGAGAAGTTGAATGAAAGAAGGATGGAGGGTGGGGTTCTCTGCCCTGAATTATTATATATAAGTATTAGTATAATTTTCATATTGATGGATTGAAAAAACTTCTGTAGTAGGCTCATTGATTTTTCCGTTTTGATTTGATCTTTTTTCTTTTCCTAGCAAAAAGATAAGGGCTCTGGATTCATTAATAGGGATGATTCAGAAATTCCCATATGAAGACCCCACTTACGATAAGCTGCAAGAAGATCTGGAAAAAATCAGAGGAAAATTTAAACAGGTTTGTAGGATTAAGTTGTTATTTTAGCAGAACATGATATTAATTTCTGAAAATATTTAGTCTCTAAACTTGCTCAAAACCACAGTATTTGTGCAGAGCAATTATTGTTCTCCTTTTGCGGTCATAGTAAAAATACTTGAAGTGAATTAAGTGAAATTACTTGATGGTTGAAAATTCCCCAACCAATAGCAAATGCAAAATACAAGAAAAATATTCTTTAAATGAAAATTGAAAATACTATTTGTCAATTAATTACAAGTGGGACCAGAAGAAGAGAAATGGAGGAATTGGGAGTTTTGTTGAACATTCTTCTTGGAAAATAGATGCTTTGAAACACTTTCGTGTATTCTTTTTTAGGTTTGTTCAATGCTAAATATTCAGTCTGATTTTAGAATCGGTACTGAAAGATCTTCACTAACATTTTGAATATAACAGATGAAGATAAACATGGATGACCAAAGAAGAAACATTAAAAGAACAGATAACTGGAAAAGTGTTTATCTACCCTTATTTTAAACAAAATCAAAATAGCGAAGAGGTGCTAAATATTAAAGGGGAAAGGGAAAACCATTGAGCTTGCAATAGTACTGCTCATATGTCATTTAACATTTATTATCTCCAGGTTTTATTTAGGATTGCTGAAACACCAGTGGGTAAACCTGTTAAATAGAAATACTTGCTTCAGTTCCTCACTAGCCTTTCACTGAGATATTAATTCCTCAAAAGGAAAACATATGCATTTGCAAAGTTTCCTTATTTAAAGGGTGTATGTTACTTAAAAAATCTGTGTATGCAGATCATTCAGTTTACACGATGTGTAGATACTGTATGTGAAGTAAAATGTAATCAGTTGCCTGCAGATTTTGCAGTAGGAAACATTTTTGTGCGTAAAGGGTAGAATGACAAATGAAATCAGAATGTGAAGATTAAGGTACCTGCTCGTAAAGTAGCTGCAGCCCAGAACATGAAATTTGCACTTTCCACGAGTTCTGCAGACTGATGCAGTGGCGGGGGGGAAAAAGCCCACCAAACTGCCCAAAAAGCAAACCCAAAAAGCTAGCAGGAAGTGAGAGAAACGTGACTACCAGAAGAGTTGTGATACTGATACTAGTATTTCCTGGTGCCTTTTGTCGAGGAATAGCTTTTTATTTTCCAGTTTTGAAAATATACTCTTTAGTCTCATTCAAAAAAATGGATGCTGTCAGCTAAATGTATGCTGTCAGCTAAATATAACTATGTTGGTTTAAGAGAAATACAGTCAATTATTTTACCTGAAAGATATTTTAGGTTGGGCTGCTGGATGTCTTTGCATACCGTTTGCAATACAGTTATATAATGAATATATACTTTCATCAGTTGTAACGTATGCATGTCTGGCTAAGTCTACACGGCATGGTGTAGCTTTGTAAAGACAGATTTGACTGCCATGGGTGTTGGAAGCTGTATGCAGGGTAAACTATCTCAGGTGAAGGAAATGTTTTAATATGGCCATATCCTTGAACAGCAGTACTTTGTGCCATCTAGACCTCAGTTCGGTTTTACTTGTACAGCTTTTTATTATGCAAGAAAATAAGCAACTTGAATTTTTAAAACGTACTCTGTGTATTCACATCTGGGATACGAAGGACATGCATTCTGCTAAAATTTTTGGATTTTGGACTCTGAAGATAAAAACTTTTGCTGACTGTATGGAGTGAGTTGTGTGCATATGTATTAATTTATTTCAAAATAATCTTTTACTTTTTGCCTGTTTCCTGAGTATGCAAGTATGCCAATGTCAAGAGGCTTTTCTTAATAACTGGTTGCTGGTGTACTTTTTTTGTTTGTTTGTCTCACATGTGTAAGTGTTCAAATAGCTTTGATGCACATAGTGAGTGTCAGGGCCATCTAGTGGAGGAGGTCATTGTATTGTCTAAGAAATAGATTATAAGAGTTCACAAATATTTATATAGATAGAAGTCCTTAACATAGTATGCAAGATACAGCTCTTCTAGGTATGTGGTGAATTTCTTTGAAATAAAGTAATATTGAGGTAGGATTCATTTGTAGCTTGTGTCCTCATTTGAGACCTTGGAAGGGACGTGTCAGCATTGATGGTCTCTTCATTTAGGGCAGTTTGAGTATGGGTGGCTTTTAATTGTTATGCAGCTAAACCACTGGGAACCAGAACAAGCACCCAACTGCAAGTACCTGAAAATAGAAGCAAAATAAAATAGCATACCCTGTAATCTTAGTAAACCGATAGGCATAAACCAAAAAGAGCACATATTAGAGAAAACAAAACTAATTTCACTGTAAAATCACTTCAGAGAAATCCAGATTTGAAAAAGTTGTCTCTGCTCATCCACAAACCAGTTTATTTTTGCAAATCAAAGTATTTTACCTGTTTACTTCAAATGAATGAAAGGTACTAGACATTCATCTGTGATTAACTTTGACCTAAAATATTTTTTGTTGAAATCCATGAATTATGCTTTAAATAAACTCCCCCTGGATCTTGGTCTAAAAAATGCAGGTTTTTTTGTTCTTCTGAATGATGGTACAAAGAGAAGTAAATGCTGGAGGTCTAAGTATTCACGTTTTAAAATGCAGCCTTTTTTTGGAATCTTTGTACATGGTTTACAAACATGTACATAAAAGCAAGGCAAGGGATGTGAGAGCTCAAAGTATCTGTGAAGCATTTGACTAACAGAAGTGATGATATGTAAGTTATATGCAAAGTGCTACTCTAGAGATTGTATCGGGAACAAAATTATTTTTGCTCAACTAAGGAGAGAAGGGATCTTTGCCGATCAAGTGGTCAGTGACTGTTACTTTGAAAATTGGTTTGGTGGCTAATTTTCTTGATTGCTTTAATTTTATTTATAACACATTAATATTATTAGAATAAATTATTGTATAAATATATATGT